CAATTAAAATATGTTTATAAACCACTTAATAAATAAAATTGTGATTAGCTTTACAAATTAAATGTAAAGTTAGCATAGTAATTTTCTTAGAAGCCCTATCACACTTTTTCTGTGCAGAAATCATCACTCAGAGATTGTGAGATCATTAGGGAAAAATCTAGAGCAAAAGGTTCTTTTTCTATCAACATGCATAGTCATTGGCTTCTTTTGAAAACCTCTTTCATTTTAGACACGTGTTGCTAAAATTTTATAAGCCTCCATGGTAAAAATCAGAATGTAAAATTATATTGACTAATTAGAATATGCACCATCTTTTGGAAGTATTAAGCACCTACTGTATACCAGGGACTACACCAGGAACTGGGAATATGACAAGGTCCTGCTCTGAGAGTGTTTACTTTCCAATAGGGAGAGCTAATCAATAAACACACAAATAAATGATAAGCAATAATATTAATCAGATAATGAAAGGATCAGTAAATTAACAAAGTGTGAGAGAGTACCCCTAGAGTTTACATTAGGGTCTCTTTGAGGAGATGATGTCGAATTTGAATTCTGAATGGTCAGAAGAAGCCAATGCAGAGAATAAAATCAAGTTGCTAAAATTCAATCCACCAGAAGCCATTTTCAGAGACTAATTTGCATATTGAAAGGAATCAGGAAACTGAAAACATTGGTGGGATTGTGGCAGATATCTCCCTCAGAACTTATACACATGCGCGCACACACACACACACACAATTTTGCATTTCATTATTATTGCTACAGAACTTTTGCGAAATAAATATAAATTAAGTCCTAAGTGTAAGATCTATCATAGATCCTATCTTAGTGAGATGGAATTACCTTCATATCACAAAATATTTTATGTTTTAACTTACATTTATTGGGCTTAAATGAAGCCATATAAATAAGGTGGGCCTTTGGGGAGGTGAGGCAAGATGCTGTGAAATAGGTACTTCTAAAAGCAAGTAATATTAAAGTGTTAAATTTGGAAAACAGCAGAAACTTTAGTTTTCATAATATTATAATTATAAAATTATAAAAGTAAAGCCTGACTACATCTTGGATGAGCCTATTTAGAAGGTGAAATTATCAGAATCATAGAGGCAAGTAGAACTGATTTTAATATTTAGCAAAAGAAGGCATGCATCAGTTTCAAAAGTTTGAGAAGCATGGCCTGAAATGCTTTCCCAGTTTCTACCTTCCTGGCACTTTAAGAAATATATCAAGGACCCGAGAATTATGGAATTCTATGTTAGCAAATAATTCTGCATGAGTTATCAAGATGGGCATAGATTTAGGTACAGGAATATTTTTATCAGATTTATTTATCATTGTGAAATTTGGGAGAAAAATCTGTGTCCACCAAAGGAAAATAAAGAAATTATACATACATGTATCAAAAAATTATATCCAACAATCAAAGATCATGTTTTGGAAAAGAGTTTAATGTCATAGTAAAATGATCAGGAAGAAAAAAAAAGTGGTAATGATTCAATATTTAAAAGACACACATTTACACATAGAAAATATTTGGAATCCGTACAACTGCTTCAGAGAGCAATTTGGCAGTATCTGTAAAGTGGAAAATGTGCAGATCTATTAACATGATTGATATACCAATAGATGAATAGTTATATAATCATATGATAGAATACAATTTCAAAGTTAGAAATTCATAAGTTGGACTCCTCTATCTGCAACCGAGATAGATCTGTGTACCTCAACAGAGATGGCTCTCAAAATAAGTTGAATTTTAGAAAAGCAAGTTGCAGAATTATATGTACTATATACCAGTACTTATATAAAATTTCAAAATACATATGACACTAAATATTGTTTATATATAAATATGTAGAAAATAAAAATATTAAAACATGGCCTGAAAGGATACGGACAAGAATCATAATACTGGTTGCCTCTGGGGTGGAAGGGAAGGGATTGGGGCTGAAAAGGAAAATGGGAGGGGAGTGGAGGATAGTATTTAACTTCGTCTGTAATGTTTTCATCTTATTTTTTAAAATAAGCAAAAATGGCAAAATGTTTACATTGTAAATTTAGAGTATTGGTATGTTGTTGTTTATTAAACTCTTTTTTTATATAAGCTTTTAAAACTTTCTAAAAACAAATGATCGACAAAACCATATCATTGGTTCCGTATACATTTTAGGATTTTTTTGTTTCTGTGAAGAATGTCATTGGTATTTGATTCAGATTGCATTGAATCTGTAGATCGCTTAGGGTAGTATTGTCATTTTAACAATATTAATTCTTCTAATCTATGAGCATGGAATATCTTTCCATTTATTTGTATCCTCTTCTATTTCTTTAATCAGAGTTTTATAGGGGTTTTTTTTGTATTTTTCAATGGTTATTATTCAGCAGTTATACCACAGTTCAGTTATTATTTTCATCTTCAAACTTCTCTGTATATTCCAAATTCACAAGATGAATATTGAGGGAAAAAATGCCACTTAGCAGATAAATGATAACTATATTGGATTTTTGCCATGAGGTATTCCTAAGACCCTTACAATTGTGCTGCCTCTGGAAGGCTGAAGTAGCAGCAAAAAAGAGATGATTATCCCATACCCCATCCCCAAACCCTGGACCAAAGAAATGAGAGGGCTGGCTTCCTGCAAGATGTAAAACAGCAAAACCAGCCTTTTTTTGGGAAGAGAGGCAGACAGATTAGGGTGTCAGTCTTGATCAGGCATCAAACTTTGAACAGGCACCAGAACAAGCACCTAGAGAATTTACAAAAAAATAATTGTCAAAGAGTTTCTGATTCATAAAGTCTGAGGTTGGGCATCTAAATTTGTGTTATTGACAAGTTCCCAGGTGTTACTGGCAATAATGATGTTTGTCCCAAAACCATATTAGAGAGCTGCTGGTTTAAGCAAAACCCAGCCATCAGATATTGGTATTTTTGATTACTGAAACGTGAGGGAGCATTTGGATTCCTGTCAAATGTTATTATCTGGCAGATCCGCAAATTACTTAATGGAGTGAGCCAGCCAGTCTCAGAGAATTTGGAGCCACATGCAAGAGCAGACAAAAAAAAAAAAAAAAAGGTATCAAAAGGTCAGAAAGCTCAAAAGTAGGGAAGATGGGAATGGGCCCAGTCTAACGATCTGAGACCACTGAAGAGATTTCTTTGGAAAAGCAAGGTAATAAAACAGGCATGAAAAGGGACTGCAAAAAACAAGTTTGGTCATCAGGGTCTGCTGCTATTTGACAAAACTGGGAGTCCAGGATGGCACAAAGTCCATACCACTTTGACAAGCACTAGAAATTCCACAAGGCCACAAATTCCTTGTGAACAAGGATTAACCCCATCCTAGCTTCCTCATCCCTCCCATTCTCTTTCCTTTCTGTTTTTCCACATTGAGCAGCGCATTAGTGCCACATATTACACGGGGCTTTCGAGAAATAGTACTTTACTGTCTTAGTTTAGGTTGCCATAAACTGGATGGCTTATAAACAACAGAAACATTTGGGTTTTTTTTTGAGACAAAGTTTTGCTCTGTCACCCAGGCTGGAGTGCAGTGGTGGAATCTCAGCTCACTGCAACCTCCACCTTCCTGGTCCAAGCAATTCCCCTGCCTCAGCCTCCCAAGCAGCTGGGGTTATAGGTGCATGCCACCATGCTTGGCTAATTGTTTTGTATTTTTGGTAGAGGCAGGCTTTTACCATGTTGGCCAGACTGGTCTTGAACTCCTAACCCCAGGCAATCTGCCCTTCTTGGCCTCCCAAAGTGCTAGGATTACAGGCATGAGCCACCTTGCCCAGCCAACAGAAACTTTTATTCATAATTCTGGAGGCTGGGAGATCCAAGATTAAGGCACTGGCAGATGCAGTGTCTGATAAGGGACTACTTTCTGGCGCATATGGTCTTTTCACTGTAAACTCATAGGTTGGCAGAGATCTCTTTATGGCCTAATGCCATTCATGACGGCTCTGCCCCCGTGACCTAATCACCTCCCAAAGGCTCTATCTCCTAATACCATCACCTTGAGGGTTAGGATTTCAACCTACAGATTTTGGGGGTTACACAGACATTCAGACCACAGGACTTACCATCTTTGCACTCCCAGCACCTGGCATAGTACCTAGCACGTATAGTAGCTACTCACTAACTGTCGAATGAAATGTCAATAAACACGGACATGAGCAGCAGGAGTCATGGTCAAAGGTATAGTGAATGGAAGATGTTATGCCTGCAGATGGGCCATTTCTGTGAGAAGCATAGCACAGCGGAGGGGGCCAGTCATGGAAATTACCAGCTTGAGACCTCATTGGAAATGCTACTACTTAGTACTTTTCTTTATACTCCCAAATTTTTCCCAGTAAATTTTTGCCGCTTTCCCCATTGCCTGCGAGTATTTGACACACGTCCATACCCACAGTTCCTTGTTTTCAGTTAAGTGAGTAAATGCCTCATTGCAACACTCTTAACCTGTCTCAGATCCAAGGCTGCAAATAAGGCATACACCTAAATTTATGATGGCCTTTGCTACAAGACACTCTCCTGCTTTCCTAATGAGAGATCCAAAAAAGGGGTATGGGCCAACTTAAACACACAGACTTTTAGTAATGTAGTTCAGTAGTTATGTGTCTAGTTACACTGTTTGATTTGTTACTTAATTGTTACACATGCATATTTGAAATGCATGTTGTCTAAAACAATACATTAGCTTTTTCATTTATGTGTTTTAAATTAATTTTAGTTCTTTCATATTAAATTTTCATATTAAATTTAGTTCTTTCTTTAGTAATTAGAAAGTTGGATATGCTGAAGAGCAAGTAAATTGGTTTAACTGAAGTAAGTAGACTAAGTTGGAAGAAGGAAACAACTTGAATTTGACATACGATTTTGATAGCAAAGGACATCAAAGTGATTGGGTACACTTAGTAGTTCATTCTATTTTAAAATTGCACAGCTTTTCAGTTTTCAACATTAAATATACAAGTTTACATATTTACATATGTTTCAGGCTACATTATTGGAATTTTGAAGTCATGAAAACCTCAGATGAACCAACCTGCAACACCTTGGATTCAGATTGGAAGATAAAGAGAAAGTTTAAAGAATGTGGCCTATAAAGGCGGGTACCTGGAAGTATTAACTGACTCACACTGTAAAAATGAGACCAGTTTCTAAACAATAGAGATTGTTTTAGTACAACATCAAGGTTCAAGACAAATGTTGAACTAAAAACTTTACACTCCCCACCCCCACTTCAGACAGGTACCAGCACTGGTGAATTATGATTTTCCTTAGTCGGAAACACTTATTTTTACCCATGTAGACCATCCTTAGGAATTAAATATTGGTTATTTAATGTAGATTATAATGGGAAGCTGATTTTTTTCACAATGGCAGATTTCAAGGACTTGGTTCCAAACTGAGCTGAAGCTTCCCAATGAGTTTTGTACAGTCTGGGAAAAACTGTGCTGCACTGGCCCACTTTTGAAGGCCATCATGCTCTGTAATATAAGGATATCATCTTATTGCTGATATCTTTGGAGAGTCCCTAGCAGACACAGAAAATGAATGGAGGCAAAGAGTGTGACGGAGGGGACAAGGAAGGAGGTCTTCCAGCTATACAAGTTCCTGTGGGTTGGCAGCGTCGTGTGGATCAAAATGGAGTGCTTTATGTCAGGTAAGTTCTTATTATTACCTGTGGTATCTGCAGAGTTGCACTCCTAAGATTAAGGAGAGAACAAAACATGGTGACTGATAGCACATCATATAAATGTGAATAAGTGACCTTTGTGCTAGAAATATACGAGAATTTTTATTGCCTTAGACTTCCAGAGATAGTTTTTGTGCATTACTTCTTTATGTAAGGTGCCATTCTGCTTATCTCTGTAACAAGGACAAAGAAAAATGTGAAGATTTCTCAAAGAAACATGCAACCATCATTACAACATTCACAGGAGAACGTAAAATCCTGGAAATTGACCTGATATCACTTAATAGAATTACTCTGTCCTTCAGAGTGCTAATAGAAAGTTTCAATTATTAGACTTTTTAATGCCTCATAGTAACTAAAAATACATTTCTTTTTTCTGCATAGTCTTTAATCTATTTCCTTGTATAGAAAGTGAAAGTGAAAAAGTCATGGAGAAAGCTCTGCATCTTACAAGTAAATATCATACAAATAAAATGCCTACTCTTTTCAATTTCAATGCTGTATATCTCTTATAGAACGAGTTGAATGGAATGACTGAACTGTTAAAAAGAAGTTTTGGACTTATTTATTAAATAGTAGACACCTAAGTTCCTTACTTCATAGTTTTTCTGTAAATGTATGAAAGGTTAAGACACCATAAATCTTTCTTTGTGATGTAATGACAAACTATTAGAAACAGATTTAAAACTTTTAAAAAGGTATCACATTGCATTATTAAATTGATGCTATTACTTTCAGTGTGGCTATTTATATCCCATCTTCAACAGAACTTGCCAGTCCAGCAAGAATGTATTTATAGAAATGAGATATTTTCAGTTATGTAAACACAGACTATTTTATGTCATAATAACTCAGAAAGTCAGTTCAGATTCTGTCCTGAGTTTGCTTGCTTGTTTTGTGTAAGGCGTTTCTTGAGGCAAATCTAATTACCAATTAAAAGTATTTTGTCACATAAATTTTACTTCTATAATATTAAAGATATGACCCATATTAATTGAGGTTAAGGGATAAGAAAGCAGAACATATGAAGCTCATCCCACGGTGGATAAGATGAACACGCACACATGAGATAACTTTCAGAGTTTCTATTGCCAGTGCTGTTAACAAACCACCAGAAATACTTTGTTATAAATAGAATATAGCAAGTTATCTGTATATGTTTATATTTATGGTTGTTCTAGTTTGTCAAGAGCAAATGTATATTCAGCTTAGAACAAAAGACACTAAAATCTGGATAATTTTTTTTCACTTCCTTTTTATTCCTGTGAAAGATAAATGAGCTTTTTGATTTCTGTGAGCAAAATCCAAATTAAATCTGGGAGTCAAAAACCAAGTTGAAGTCTAAAAGACTGTCAGTTATCTTGTTCATGATTTTCCAAGTCTGACTAGACTTTACCGTCTGACATCCTTGTTAGTATGGGTTCTCAACTTCAAATCTGTATACTGATAATTATTTTGGAAAGAAGCTTTCCTAGATTAGGTAAAACACTCTCAAATTAAATTACCCAGCATAGATTTAATTTGCTTGTATATAACTGAATTACTACTTGAACATGTATAGCTCTTTCTATAGCTCCCTTCTCAATACGCAGTTTGCTTTTAATGTTTAGGTTAGTCTCCAGCTGCTCCTGCCTCAGGGTGGCATTGAGGCTACACATTACATTTTCCACCTACTTCCAATCTTCTAAGCTTTATCTATGATACAAGTTTTGTAACTACTTTTTTACATTAATTATTACTCTGAGAAATTAATTAAAGAGATAGAACTGAAGGAAAGAACCCAGCTGACTTACTGAGAGGAAATGTTTTTAAAGCATCTGGAGTACTTTAATAGAATTAAGGAAGTCTTGTCTTCAGGTTTTAAAATTAAATTCCTCTAGGATTCAGTCCATATACTTTCTTTAAAGTTAAAATGTCAGGCAGTTCCTTTTCACCAAAGTCATGAATGCTTCACGTGAAAAATCAACAAGATATTATGCCTTTTTTCTTGCTGCTTTTGAGATAGTCTCACACTGCTGCCCAGGCTGGAATGTAGTGGCACATCTTGGCTCACTGCAACTTCTGCCTCCTGAGTTCAAGCAATTCTCATGCCTCAGCCTCCGTAATAAATGGAATTACAAGCACGCTACTATGCCCAGCTAATGTTTGTATTTTTCGAAGAGACAGGGTTTCACCATGTTGGCCAGGCTGGTCTCGGATTCCTGACCTCAAGTGATCCGCCTGCCTTGGCCTCCCAAAGTGCTGGGGTTACAGGTGTGAGCCACTGCACTCAGCCTGGCTTCGTTTTATTGAAATCACCAGACCTCCAAAAACATCTAGTTGCCTTTCCCTGCTGTGGCTGAACTCGTCACTAAAATGAGAATTACTCTTCTCTGCATAGCACCTGAAAAAAATGGCCTAAGTAAATGAGTACTTTGACAAAGTTGAGGATTTTCGTTTAGATTTTCTACATGCTGAAATTACTTGTATAATTGTCCATAAACAAAATATGAATTGCATTTTAAAAATGGTTCACTTATGGATTTTTTTTAAACTACTACTTGTGTTTTTGTAGAGATAGAACAAGCACAAGCTGTGTCCAGTATTATAATGTTTTGTATATGAAATGGAGATTATTGTTTCTGGATGAACTTGATCAGAGGGCTTAAGTGAAGGTTTTGTTAAATAGTCGTAAATAAAGTACCTTCTCGAATGAAAAGTATATCATTTCAAAGCATAATATGTATTTCAATTAAAACATAGACATGTTAATATAAAGTCCTAAAATGAAGATTGTCCATCTCAGATAAAATATAATAGCTCCCATGGTAAATAAAAATCAGAAACATGTCTTGCCATCTGAATTAGTACCTAATCTGTATTCACGTATCTTACTATGTTCACATATCTTGCTGACTTCTGTGGTCTGAAAAGTAGTAACGTTGAAGCACCTACACAATTACTAGCCCAAAGACCTGCAAGGCACCTTTCTGCTGCCAAAAACCCTATTTCCTCAAAAGTTTCCTATCTTTTGTCAGCTCTGCTTAATTCCTCTCTCTCCGTCTCTGTACAATTTGACTGTTCAGTGTATCTTCAGATATAACTAATCTGTTATATCTTTAAAGAAACACACTGGTGAGGGGGAGAAAAAAGAAACCTGTTTTTACGTAGGGACAACTTGGTTCTAGATTCCAAGATAAACAGGGAACATGTTCACTCCCACTTTTGTAGACTTGCCAACTTTCTGGTTCAAACCTCAATATGTTTCTAAATGTCAGTTTTTCCTCAAAGAGCTTTAAAAGCAGATATTCTAGTTTAAAATGAGAGTCATTACTTTTATGTAGTTTTCTTGTTCTTTTTTCCTTCTTGCCTGCTTCTGTCCTTTCTTAAGAATAGCGTTTTTACCATCTTTAGTCTATTCTTGGCTTTCAAATACTTTTATTTAATTTTCTATGACGATCTGTATTTTTCTGAAAAATATTTTGGTTCAAAAGAAAAAGCAATAGTATTAAAGGCTATAATTTAGTAGCTAACATAATATTGACAAAGAAAATGCTTTTCCCTAGTAGGAAAATATCCCATAAAGGACAGTAAGACTATAAATTATGCCTTTTTTCATATAATATGTGTAGTCAATATATTTCCTGATGTTTTTTTAAACTATTTTTGCAGTCCCAGTGGGTCTTTGTTATCTTGCTTGGAGCAGGTTAAAACATACCTGCTTACTGATGGAACATGCAAGTGTGGCTTGGAATGTCCTCTTATTCTTCCCAAGGTAACCATTTCACAATAGCTCTACAGCAGTGTTTTCTTTTTTAGGTATTTGATATATTTGTTTTTCCCATTTGGCATTTGATTTTTTATTACTTCTACAATCATACATCTTAATTCTTTATCTAATTAGACATATTTTGCATGCATTTTGGAATGCTTAAAGATTGTGGAAAATAATTCATGCCTAAGAGTCATTTTCAAAGGGGTCAAATCTATATTCATATTAAATATTTTATTAAAACCACCTTTGTACCTTTTCATTAGAGCTATATCTAATACCGCTCGGCATTTAATAGTGTAATATTTTCTCTCATTACTATATCTGCTCAAATCTGCAGTGTTATTTTTAGCACTGGTACTGATAAATCTGCCACAAATATTCTCAGAATCACGAAGCTGAACGCTCATAGATAAAATATGAAAGTGTTTTACTCATTTGCAAGGTAAAAAGTAAAATAATGCAAAATGGTAAAATATTATTCGCTATAGAAATAGGTCATTATTTTGTGAATGTCTGTTATAATGCTAATTTTAAACGTAAAGGTTAGATGTGTGTCACCACATTCCAAAAAAAGATTTACATAATAAATAAATGTTTTTAAAAAAACAAGTAAAAGATTTTCAAAATCAGTGACAAGAAAATATTAACATAGTAATAAAATGAAGCCAAGGAAAAAGTTAGCATGTAGCAATAAAGCTTTTGTTTTGTCTTTTTTAAGTGTACTTCATCTGTTTTTACACTGTTAGAACATCAGGAAGTATCTAAAATTGAGCACATTATCAGATATTATATCTTTTCACATATTTATCTTGGCTGTCCTAGAATTAGAAAAATATTCATTATTTACTTTGCCACTAAAAACTTGAGTTCAGCAGAAGTACTTACCAAGTTATATAAAGTTGCCTTTCTTAAAAACTTGAGAAAGTTTTATTCAGATTTATAGCTTAATCTATACACAATTTTTTTTAAACAAAAAGATCTTTTTATTAAATGTTTTTACAGACATATTCTAAACAAAGACTGTGCTTTTTCCAGGTATTTAATTTTGATCCTGGAGCTGCTGTGAAGCAGAGAACTGCAGAAGATGTTAAGGCAGATGAAGATGTCACAAAGCTATGCATACATAAAAGAAAAATTATTGCAGTGGCCACACTTCATAAAAGCATGGAAGCCCCACATCCTTCTCTGGTGCTCACCAGTCCCGGAGGAGGAACAAGTATGTAACATGGTGAAAGGTTCAGGAATTCTCCTCTCCATAGAGAGGAGTTGCTAGAAATCATTTTGCCAAGCATTTTCTCATTCTACTTTTCAGGCATGCACAATGCTTTAAAATTCTGTATGTTCTGTAATTTTATTACAAATAGCAAACAGGTTCTGAAAAATTATAATGAGGTTATTTCCCAAAATTTCTTATCCAGAGCATTCAATTAAACAGGCAGAATAAACACTAACTAGTACATACAAATGTTCTTCAAGTGTGTAAAGCTGAGCTAACAAAAGCTCCCTTGGTTTTTAGGAAATAAATGTAGCCTTTTTCCTGGGGGTGGATTGGAATGTGTGGTATCAAGTCCCCAAAAGCAGTGTCGTTCTTTCAGTTATTTGTGGAACACCTAATAAATAGAAATCACCTTGCTGGAAAGTTTTTATATCCCCACCACCACACATGCACACACACAGGTGATTTCTTTTTTAAATATTTTAAAGCTGCAGAAAACTTGCAAGAATAGTTGATGGAGTATCCTTCATCTAAATTTACCAATTAACGTTTTATTGCAGAAGTTGCAATTATTGTGACAATTCAACCCTAAATATTTCAGAGTACAAGGGCATACTTCTACATAAACACAATCTAAGGACAACATTCAGGAAATTTGACGCTGATATTATATTATTATCTAACATGCAATCTATATTCAGATTTTTCCAATGGTCCTAACAGTGTCTCTCATGAAGCTTCACAGAAATTCAGTCTTGGCCAGGTGCAGTGGCTCATGCCTGTAATCTCCACAATTGGGGAGGCTGAAGTGGGAGGATCACTTGAGGCCAGGAGTTTGAGACCAGCCTAGGAAACACAGCAAGACCTATCTCTAAAATAATTTTTTTAAAAAACAACTAGCCAGGCGTGGTGATGGCTCACACCTGTACTCTTCTTAGCTACTCAGAAGGCTGAGATGGGAGATCTTCTGAACCCAGAAGTTGGAGGCTGCAGTGAGCCATGATCATACCACTGTGCTCCAGCCTGGGTGATAGAGTAAAACTCAGTCTCAATTTAAAAAAAAAAAGAAAAAGAAGCCAGTCATTTTAAAGATCCACAGTGCAATCGAAGATGGTACACTGCATTTAGTTGTTACATATCTTTACATCAATTCCCAAGTCTTTTTCAATTTTTCATGACATTGAAATTTTTGAAGAGTCTAGGCCAACTTTGCACGATGTTCCTCAATTTGGATTTTTCTCATATTTACGTTCAGGCTAAACATATTTTGCTAGGAATGCTGCATAGATGATGTTATCTCCTTATCAGTAGACACATAACATCAGTCTACCCTATTTTGATAACCTTAAGTTTGATTGCTTAGTTAAAATTATGACCATTTGATTTTTCCATTATTAAAGTACACTTTTCCCTTTATGTTTAATGTGTACTCTGTGGAATTATACTTTGGAACTGAGGAACTTCTTTTTATAAGGGATGGAATATGAATGCTTTCCAAAATATTATAATCTAATGTTTGAATATTAATTCAGAATAAGATACGACTGAACACCAAAGCATTTGTTTATGAGGGATTATTGATACTTTCCCACAGAACTCTGAAAAATAGCGATGATGAGTGTAACCTGTAGTGATCAGAGAAGACTTTATGGTAGAACTCAGATTTGCACCAGCCTTGGAAAATGATAGGATTTAGACACGTAAGGAGGATAGGAAAAGCCTGCTCCATAACGAGTGTAGCATAATAAGGGATGTTGTGGTTAACTGACTTGAATAGAAGATTAGACATATGTAGGTAAATTGAGGCCAAATTATTGATTGCTTTGGATACAAAGAACAGTTGTCATGTCATACAGGTAAAGATTCACACTTAGAATTCATGTGAAGAGATATAACTGTGTTTTCATTTTTGCATATTACCGTGCACATACTCTTACCTGTGGTTGCTCTCACTTCACATTATGTCAAACAGTTTTACCAGTTTCTACAGAGTCTGCTTGTTGCCTTGCTAAAGACCCTGGCAGAATCTAGGTCTCGGTTCTTTGTCATAGCTACACATTACAAGTTTAATTATTGAAATTAAAGGTAAATATTTAACTCGCACAGGTAATAATAGGTCCACCTCCATTCCCTTTTAAAATGATACTCTTTATGGGATTGATTATTTTACTAGCTTCAGACATAGCATTTATTTTACTTTCCTAATTTTAAACTATGTTATTATAAGGTTGAGATTTAAATAATTAAATATTCAGAAAACTGACTTAGTAATTTTCTACCTCCCATTATTTAAATACATAAGCATCTGTTTCTGTTTATTCTTTTGAAAGGCCTACTTGAATATACATGAAAGCACTTGATGGGTGCCTAGCATTTCTACTTGCCAACTCTGTAACAAAACATCAGCCTGACTTTTGTTTATTTTGTATTTCAATTATTTTTAAAATGGTAACTGTTTTTTCCCTAAGTTTGGAAGAAACTTTTTTGAACCACAGTTGTTATCTAAATTCTGTTAATTGAATGTAAAATTCCAGTGTCTGTATTTTTAACCACTGACTGTAGATAATTATATAAATACATTGATACACAAGAAAAAATGCAAGTAGGTTGTTTTGTCACTAAAGAGAACATGGTCAGTCATAGGATAAAGCTAATGATGTTCATGTTCTCATTATATGCCAAGCACAGTACCCAAAATATTATTTTTTCCATTTTACTCCTTTAATTACAAACTTTAAATATCTCTTTTTAACAAGAAAGTAAGCTTCAGTTGTGTTTATCTACTGCAATTTTCACATATAATTGGATCTCAGCTTTTCATATATTATATCCAGAAATCATTCTATCAAAGAACCTCTAGCATGATAGAATCAGAAAGTTCACATTTCCCAAGAAAAACATATGTTCACTGTATTCTCTTAACAAAAAACGTATGTTCACTGCATTCTCTTAGTAGAACGTGCCCTATGTAGATTTATGTGGAACCAGGTTGAGAACCACTATCTCAGAAATTGTTATGATATGATTTGACCTGTATACTCTCTAGCAGAAGGAGAAATATATTTAATCTTAAATGTGTAATTATCCATGTAAGTAAGTGTACCTCTGATTGCAAATGAATGTAACTCTACTTGCTAATATAAGTCTCAAAATAGGTATGGCAGATATATAGTTTGGATGGTGCCATTCTCACCTCCTAGGTCTGTAACAGACTCACTGGCATTTTCCCATGGAGCCCAGTTAGAGCTCAGCTTTCTTTCCAACACAGCTTTCTAAGCAGCTACCACCAATGGATGGGAATTGGCTTGTGAAACAAATTCTATTTGCCATTTTCCTTTTAGAAGACATGACTTTATAAAATAGTAGATATCATAAGGGGCTGAAAAACTGAAACCGAGAATTCTGATATGATAGAATGAAAATTCTGTGTGATGAGTCAGCTTGCTTTTGTTGCCTGTATTCTGATCTCCAGAAAAACTGAGGGGATTCCAAAAAGCCAGAGAAGAAGAAATGCATTCATGTGAAAAGAGAATATGCAAGTGGAACCCAGTACTGGAGGTTTTAGCACTTCAACTAAATTTTACATGAGAAATCTATCCTAATAAAAGAATTGAAGTCTGTGACCATACCACCCCGAATATGCCCGATTGTCTAATGAAAGAATTACAGTCTTTTACCTAAGTTGAGGTAAAAGGCTGCAGCTGTTTTTACAATAATGACTAATTAAGGGCAAATAAAATACAGTGTTAGAAACATGATGTGAAACTAAGCATGGGTTAGTTTGCAATACCACTGCATTTATTCTTCTTATTCCTCCCATTACAAAAGATGTGGAATCCCATTAGAAGAAATTAACTCTTACTCTCCTAGTGAAAGTGCTGGGATAAGGAAATATCACTGTCGCTGTTCTGAGAAGGTTGCAGTAAGATAACAGAAACATTTTTGTAACAGTGAAAATTTTGTGATGAAAATGGCAATTCATTTAAATCACCCAAGAAAATGTTATGCCACACAGATCACAATGTTCTGTTGTAACTGCGTTCTTCAAAATCCTAAATCCAACAAAATGGTAATATCACCATTTCCATCTGGGCTGCCAGTCTTGATTTTGCATATTCTTAATATTATTAGAATGGTTGATGTCATTATGTATTGATTTAGATGCCCATGCTTTCTCAACAGATAAAAAGTAAATAAGCATAATGAGCACTTACTGAAAACCTTTGGTCAACAAAGGGAAAATAATGTAAATAAAAGTTTGAAATAGTATTAATATATAGAACTATTTTTAATTATATAGAATCACAGCTTTTATTTCCAGATTTCTATTTCCAGATGCCCTTCCCTCTCCCTTCCTGATTTCCTCCTTTCCTTCCCTTCTTCCCACCACAAAAAAAAAAAAAAAAAAAAAAATTGAGACTGTTAACAGAATTCTTTTTTTCTCTTTCACATCAGATGCAACTCCAGTAGTACCTTCTCGGGCAGCAACTCCAAGATCAGTAAGAAATAAATCTCATGAAGGAATTACAAATTCTGTAATGCCTGAATGTAAGAATCCTTTCAAGTTAATGATCGGATCATCAAATGCCATGGGAAGGCTATATGTACAAGAACTGCCTGGAAGCCAACAGCAAGAACTCCACCCTGTCTACCCCCGACAGAGATTGGGCAGCAGTGAACATGGACAGAAATCTCCATTCCGTGGCAGCCATGGAGGCCTGCCCAGCCCAGCATCATCAGGTTCCCAGATATATGGAGATGGTTCAATCTCTCCAAGGACTGACCCACTTGGAAGTCCTGATGTTTTCGCAAGAAATAATCCTGGTTTTCATGGAGCTCCCAATTCTAGTCCTATTCACCTGAATAGGACTCCTCTTTCTCCACCTTCAGTAATGCTACACGGTTCTCCTGTACAGTCATCCTGTGCAATGGCTGGAAGGACTAATATACCTCTTTCCCCAACCTTGACTACAAAGAGTCCAGTAATGAAAAAACCAATGTGTAATTTTTCAACTAATATGGAAATACCACGAGCAATGTTCCACCACAAACCACCCCAAGGCCCACCTCCCCCTCCTCCACCTTCTTGTGCTCTTCAGAAAAAGCCATTAACATCTGAGAAAGATCCACTTGGCATTCTTGACCCTATTCCTAGTAAACCAGTGAATCAGAACCCTGTTATCATTAATCCAACCAGTTTCCATTCAAATGTCCACTCTCAGGTACCTATGATGAATGTAAGCATGCCTCCTGCTGTTGTTCCTTTGCCAAGTAATCTCCCTTTGCCAACTGTAAAACCTGGTCACATGAATCACGGGAGTCATGTACAAAGAGTTCAACATTCAGCTTCAACCTCCCTGTCCCCTTCTCCAGTGACATCCCCAGTGCACATGATGGGGACTGGAATTGGAAGGATTGAGGCATCGCCCCAAAGATCACGCTCATCTTCCACATCATCAGATCATGGAAATTTCATGATGCCACCTGTAGGACCCCAGGCCACTTGTAGTGGTATTAAGGTTCCACCCAGGTCACCAAGGTCAACAATAGGGTCCCCACGGCCATCAATGCCATCAAGCCCTTCTACCAAGTCCGATGGACATCATCAGTACAAGGATATCCCTAACCCATTAATTGCTGGAATAAGTAATGTACTAAATACCCCAAGCAGTGCAGCTTTTCCTACTGCATCTGCCGGAAGTGGTTCTGTAAAGAGTCAGCCTGGTTTGCTGGGAATGCCTTTAAATCAGATCTTGAACCAGCACAATGCTGCCTCCTTTCCAGCAAGTAGTTTACTCTCAGCAGCAGCCAAAGCACAGCTAGCAAATCAAAACAAACTTGCTGGTAACAACAGTAGCAGCAGTAGCAATTCTGGAGCTGTTGCCGGCAGTGGCAACACTGAAGGACATAGCACTTTAAACACCATGTTCCCTCCTACTGCCAACATGCTTCTCCCAACAGGTGAAGGGCAAAGTGGTCGAGCAGCACTAAGAGATAAGCTGATGTCTCAGCAAAAAGACTCATTGCGGAAAAGAAAACAGCCACCTACCACAGTGTTGAGTTTGCTCAGACAGTCTCAAATGGATAGTTCTGCAGTTCCTAAACCTGGACCTGACTTGCTAAGGAAGCAGGGTCAGGGTTCGTTTCCCATCAGTTCAATGTCTCAGTTACTACAGTCTATGAGTTGTCAAAGCTCTCACTTGAGTAGCAATAGTACCCCGGGTTGTGGGGCCTCAAATACTGCTTTGCCTTGCTCAGCTAACCAGCTGCATTTTACAGATCCCAATATGAACTCCAGTGTTCTTCAGAATTCACTGACACAGAACATACCTTTAAGAGGGGAAGCCGTGCACTGCCACAATGCAAACACTAACTTTGTTCACAGTAACAGTCCAGTCCCCAACCACCATCTTGCAGGTTTAATAAATCAGATTCAGGCTAGCGGGAACTGTGGGATGCTCAGTCAGTCGGGCATGGCTTTAGGAAATTCCTTACATCCCAATCCACCTCAGTCAAGAATTTCAACGTCCTCCACTCCAGTGATACCAAACAGCATTGTTAGCAGCTATAATCAAACAAGTTCTGAAGCAGGTATGGTTTTATTAGAAAAAAGTACCCAAAGGTACTAAACTTTTCTACTTTTTTAAAAATTTGTACCAAAATATTTATTATGATAAGAAATGATCCTTTCCCCATTGTGAAATTCTCTTCATTTCTTTAGTATTTATAATTTTATTTACAGAATGCTAGGGGTTTGTCTATTGGAAAGATTAACAGCTAAGAGGATTCCATGTGTTTCCGTTATTTGTTGTCAATCTGTGTCATTTTGAATATTGTTCAACTTTCACTTGGTTGTATAACCATTGGACTCTAAACTGCAAAATAAGCCATAGAAGACAGCGTTTCCTGGTTCGTGAGACATGTCCTGGGCCAATGCCATTATAAAAGCTGTCTCCCTAGCTTTTGTTTGTATTCAGGTAAATGAAGTTTATCTTGGAAAACCCAAAAAGGCAAAAATAAATGGATTTTTTTTCTTGCTGCTGAACAGAAGTAGGTGAATGGATAGGAAAAGGTAACTAGAAGTTGTACGAAGTAGAAAGCTGTCTTCTGATGCGTTTTCTTATTCTAGTTTGCTATCTTTTATTATTATTTGTTTGAGAAAACTCAAAATGGATATTGGCTACTCCCTTTTAAAAAGAAAAGCTAATAATTTAAGTTTTCTAATAAAAAAAAGGCTTGAAAACCTGATTTCCAGAATTTTTAATCTTGAAATTGTTTTTTGATTTTCTTGTAGAACTAAACCATTTTTACCATTGACATTAAGGTTTTGAACCCAAATTTATTGTATCTCTTCATCCACTATTAACTAAGGAAACAAATTTATTTGAAAGTAGGCATATGAGAAAAAGACCTGTGTTTTGTGCAATAGCGTCCTCAGAAATTGTTATAAAAGCTGTACAGACGCACCTAAGAGGTAAATGTATTGAGGCATCAGAAAATTTGACTATAAAAATATTAGAAAAAATATTTAAAATTTGACACTAATGACTTGTGAGAAATGACAAGGAGAAAATAAAAGATGATTGTAAAGACATTATTATTCACTATGAAAACAGTATGCTATAAAAACCAGATTGCTCCTGGAAATGAGAAAACTGCTGAGGTTTTTAATAATAAGCTAAGGTGTAGGTATGTATAGATTGTGTAATACCATCATGCTGGAAAAGCATCTAACCCCACGTCTTTGTTGCTGATAGCAAAAGCATTTTCCTTCCTGGTGTTGCCACTTACACCTGCCATCCTTCACATCTTGTGTTACGTGTTATGTTTTGATGTAACTATTTAATGAAGAACTATTCAATGACCTCTTCTGTTAAAAAGGTATACATATATATGTGGTTTAGAAGATATTTGAAATTATTAGTGCCTTCTTGATATTCTTAGTTTAAAGAATCTCATGAAACTTTATTTTTTATGTGTTTAGCAGTATACTTATCCCATAGGGGGCTTCAACTTTTCACTCCCTCATATTCCTTTTTAGATAACTCGACTCAAATGAAAATTTAATTTTATATGTTTAGAAGAAAAGTTACACAAAGTTCATAACTATTTAAAAGCACACCATATTTATTGAGCATACCTTAACTAATTTTGATGAGACATTTTTAGCCTCACTGTATTATATAATTTTGATACCCCTTACCTCAGTTTACTTCATTTCAGGTCTAAGTTCATGTGCAAAGAGTATGTATTTCATTGATGTATTTCAATTCATATATAATGGAAAAGACCAACATTTACTTATATTCTTGTTTCTTCTGATGGTCAAGTTTAGACTTATTTCATACTGTTTTGTTCATTTATTTTTGTTTTTTTGTTTGTTTCATATATCTTTGTAAAACATCTGGCCTGCACTGTTACTGCTGGGAGTGTCAAAGCATATAGGCTAAAATTTTATTAGTGTCAGAAAAGTGTTAGCATATAAATAGGTAAAAAAGATAAGGATACATGTCTAGTAATGATATGGATGTGACCAACTAGTGTAAGCTAACAGGAAATATGTGCTTAATAAAAATCTAAGTATGAATTTTAAAAATATTAAACTTAATAAAATTAAATACTAATTAACGTGCATAGGTGTGATGTGCAGCTGGTTATGAAAACGGATTGATTTACTAATTAATGTAACTCTTTTGATGAGCTAAATATTGAAGCAGTCTCTAATGCCATGTTTCTTTTTGCCATGTAGTGAACTTTGTCAACTGAATATACCATCATTGTAATTGCCTAGCCTAAATATCTATTTACACTGACGTTTATTCATTCATCAAATAACCACTGAGGCCTAAAGCTAGGCATTCAGAATGAGACAGTAAATGATAGTCACAGCTATATCTGTAGGAGTATTAGTAAGTATTCCTATCATACAAGAAAGACATTAGAAGAAAACCACATTTTATTCTTAAAATGTTGCTATAGCTATCTATCATCACATGCCTATTTTGTACCAGGTGATGTCCCTATATTATTTCTGATCTGTGCAGTTTTCTAAACTATAAGGCATTATTGTTCAATTTTACAGATCAGGAAGCTGAGGCTCAAAAAACTTAAGTAACTGTTCAGTATCATACATAACTGAATCAGGATTTAAACTGCGGCTTATCTGATTCTAAAATCCATTTTCCTCCCAGCTGCATAAATTCTTCATCTGAAACATTTAGTGCTCAAAGGTATTGTGTTCCCTTTCAAAATCTTTTAAAGTATTCTACAGATAAGGAGTTAAAGCACATTAATGCATGTTGGAAGCCACATTTGTTAACTATTGATATACTTCAGATGAAAATCAGTTATTTTTGCCTTCTTTCTTTGGACTCTGACATTATAGCAATAATGACTAGAATTTTTATGTCAATGCAGAAGAAGAAATATATCCAAAATGTCAAGAAACTGCCCCTTATTAGTGAACCACATTTGGTGACTTTTCTTTCAATAGTTATCATCTCACTCAAATTAGAATGGGTGTCCTAGTAGATGACATGTCAGTAAGCCTTTAAAAGAGAGGCAGATGCTAGTCATGTCATTCTAGGCATGGTTGCACAATGAGGGTGAAAGAAACAAACAGGTAGCACGATCCAACTCTACTCTGTGGTTACAGAGCTTAGACACAACTCAGGTGACCTCCTGTTCAATCCAGTGCCTTTTTCCACTCTCCTAAGTAAAAGTTCAAAAATATTACATTAAGACATTAATAAGATAAGAAATAACTTGCTCTGAAAAATGCTTCATTCAATTGGTAATCTATTTTTAAATCTCCTTTTAAAGAGAGTTTTCCTATGCAAAACAATTCAAATATTGATTTTTAGGCCTATATGTGAATTCTATGGAGCACATTTAAAACATACAAACAAAATATGGGAATTGAAGACAAAGATAGTAACAAAATCAGATAAAAGATATGAAATAATTGGAAAACATTTTGAAAACTTATGAATATACAAGGCTTTATTAAGTCTACTTGCTGTTTTCAAATTGCCTTTCCACTAAAGCTTCAAAATACTTTGCATTTTAAAGTTTACAGGTTTCCACTGGCTTTTTCAATATTAAATTACAGGTAAAGTTTAATATTTTCATGTAACAGATATAGAAACTGACCAGTAGGATACTTGGTGACATTCCTCAAGTTGTAAAGCAAATCTCTGTTGGATCTGACAACCAAACCCTGCAGCTCCCAATTCTCAATCCAAACACTCAGACTGCCAAATGCAGGTATGTTTTGGAAATCCATCAGTAGTATACATTTAAAGCAACTTTCCATTTTTAAAGAGAGACACATTTCAGCATGTGAATGGTTCTAGCACATGTCCTATAGTATTATGGCTTAAGGAAGACCAAAATCAAGTGCCATTGCCTGGCAGACTTCAGAATGTCCAGGTCTCTTTAGTCCTCTGACTACTGCACACCTGCTTAGCACATAACAAAAACACATGCCAGTGACCCAGGCCTCTTTAGAGGACTTAGCCCCATCAGTATCCACACAATGACCCCTCCCTTCCATGACCCTGTAGTTTTTCACAGTTTTCAAATAAGAAACAAGATTGAGATTATTCTGCCAACATACTTACTAGCAACCCTGTGTTCTTCCAGTATGATGAAATCATTAAGTCGTTCAACACAACATAACTCTTTCCACTTTAAAATGACTTTTATGTTCTCTTATTTTTTCCTAATAAAAAAACACTTTATCAGCTCTTGTAAACAATCTAATCCTCTGAGGGGACACAGTATGGGTTTGTGCCAGAAGATAAAATAATTCAAACATTTATTTGCCTTAACTCTTAAAGATATACATGACAAGAATATAAATAAGCCTAAAAGTAAATAAATGCTCTTGAATATTTATATACTTATATTTTTTTAACTGCAAAAGAAAATTTTCTTTCAGCACAAAATACATTTGATTGAAACTCAGGACAGCCATTAATATGGTAGGTATAAGACAATGAAATAGACCACAAAAGAACACTTTGGGTAAAAGACTACAAAGTAATGAGTTAGTTTGTATGTTCTGTTTGTTCATTTGTTCTCGGAACATACCAGTAAAGAAAATAAAGGGTATTGTCATCTCTGTTTTTTCTAGATGAAGCTACAGGGGCAGAAAGATTAAGGGGTAAAAATGCTCAAGGGTGGTTTGTATTATAAAGTATCTTTCTCAGAAGATGAGAGGTTTGTATAGAAATAATCCAGTGTTATATAGATTGATGTAGACTGAAGAGAGAGGCAGAGCCTCCTTGAAGGCTGTGACTGAATAAATGAGTTGCTAGTGAAAGTATTTTCACTCAAATTTTTAAATGCTTAGATTTTATTCCCCTCTGATGCACAAAGTTTATAGGTTAAAAATTGTCCTCTGCACTTGTTTTCTAACCAAGCAACAGAATTATACTAAATTCTGGATTGTGTGATAAAAATCTGTCTATTCTTTCAGTAAATTTTTGTAAAATGAGCCATTTTTTCTTTGCTGTACGATATTCTTAATATAGTTGATGTCTTGTTGTTTGAGAAGGTCTCCTAAAATCAGGGTTACACCACATTTT